AAATAGAAATATATTTATTATAAAAAATTAGAAATATGAAAATTAGAATTACACGCAGCTTGGTCCCACATACAGTATGAATATAAGGTAATTATTCAAGATTAATAGCCGGTAACTAGTACGCATTTCTACATTTTCTCATCTTATCAATTGTTTGAAATTTCTACGGATATTTTAGTGAATACAATAGAATTAAGTAGTGGAAATAAATGATGTAGAATGAAAAGATAGAGAAATATTCTATTAGTTAAAAATATAAAACTTTTTTATACTATTCTTGGAATGTGAGGTTTCTTTATTGTTAATAAAAAATGGATAAAAATGTTGCAACACGATACGTTCTTATTAACACTTATTTGAGTTACCCTTTTATAATGTTGCAAAATATGTTTACCAAGTAATTATATTTTTTTTTCAAGTATGAATTTGAGTAGATATCAATTTTTTTTTTCTATAAAATCTTTATTTTAGACCGTATCAACTTCATACGTTATTAGCAACAACATTTTACTTACATATCTTACACAATCGAACATTTTTAACGCACATTATTAAGCTGTTGTTAATAAAACTAAATAAAACAAGCGTCATAAATTGTTAGAAGTCGATTGAACTCGGTATGCAGAAATATTTGCCTATTTTCCGATTGAAGCAATTTTTTGTCTTATCTTCTATTTAACGTTTCACTGTTATGTTTTACACACGTGCGCGCGCACGCGTACGAAATTTAGGGGAAATTATTCTGGCAACGCACTTCAATTAATCATACACAAATTCTTAGGTGAATGAAAAGAGAAAGTGGATAATGTTACATGATTATTGAACGGATGTACCAAAATCTTTGTTTACTTGAACGACACGGTGGAGCTAATAAAAACTATTTTAAGGAATGGTGCAGCTGATTGTTGACGCCGTCGCGGTGGTTGGCGAGGATGGGTTTGTGTTGCGTGATGGTCGCCGTTTATCGATTTGCGTTGTTGTGAGGAATGAAGTCGTGGCTACATGCCCTATGCCAGGCCACATCGCACCGTCTCTTATAGGAATTTACACGTTCCACGTAAACGCATCTAAGCAAATCATATACCAGAAAGAAAAGTAATAGCATTATGCAATATTGCTTTCACGGGATGGCGCTGTCTCCGAACCGCCCATTCAATCGTGATTTCTCATGTTTCTTGAACGTTCGAGTGGTTTAAAACGACTGTTCATCATTTTTAGAATTTCACAGACTGGTTGGAATATTTGGTTGGATTTGAATTCGACTTGAATTTCTTTTGTTCTTTTATGTATCTATGATTTATTTGCATTTTGTTTTCTCACTTTTTTAAAATAACCTACAAAAAGTTGTAGTAATTTTTGGAGGATTTCAGTTTTGTAAAGTATAGTTTAATGAAATAGCAAGTAAATTAAACATCGATACCGTAAAATATTAATATTAACGATGTTTTTTAAGCATTAGTGTTTCACGAAATATTCGCAGGAACGATGAATTACGTTTTTCTTACGAGAAAACGAGATTGGGAATAGCTATTTGAAAAGGATGCAGATAATTCTTTTGTACGTACATATATGCTAAAGGAAAAGGAAAGGGGAGACAAAATAACAGGCAACTGCAAATATTGTGTGTTAATGAAGAAGATTACGTGAGTGGAAACTTAGTAACATTAGGGAACAAACAAGATATAGTTAGTGAATGACTGTAAAACAGAATCAAAGTTATCGGGATATGTAATATTTTAACTTAATCGACGTGTTATGCCGAATTTTGCATAAAATTCTTACCAATAGAAACGCAATTATTTATATTATATTTAAATTTATTTCAATTTTATGTCTTTGTATAATATACTCTTGCTCGAAGGATAAAAATGCAAGAACGTGTTTAGAATACATAATAAAAATATACGATTCATTCTTTTAAACAACGGTATGAAAAACATTTTTATCATACACACTGCGACACACAATTATCGTAATTCTAATCAGACTTAAAATGTTAAATTAAATGTCTATTATAGATAGGGAATTTTTAATTGGCAGGACTGTTTGCAAATCTATCGAAACGAATCGTAAATTAATTACTAAATGAATGCACAAAAACTGTTCCTCTTCAGTCGCGTGTATTCCTTGTTCTGTTTGATAATAATTACGTATGCCGCGGTGAATCTGGTTTTGTACGTATACATACATGTACGAGCATTATAGGAATCCATACTCAATTAACGATGAGTACTATTGCATTTACATAATAAATGCGGAAACATAGCATTGCACAATATAATCGGAAAAGTTCGTTTATAGACGTTTTAATAATCTTTATGAAGGTTAATTACTTTTTGTATTAAATGTTCAATAAATCGTACACACCAAAATATAAATTTTTTACTCTATTTCTTTTGTATTTCAATAAAATAGGAAATCTTGTAAAATATAGTCGATTGATGATATTACTTATTAAGTTAATGTGAAAATATTTAATTTCCTAAAACCACATTAACATTCTAATTCGTATCTCTTAAAGTGCATGCTGAAATGTTCTTTGTATATTCTTACGATTTTTAGATGACATAACCTGCAAATTTTGTAACGCTCGTCTTCTTATAATTTATTTACCAACTTACAAATTTCAGTCATGTTTCGAATATTAAAAGATAATAGGTATATAATACAATAGAAATGCATTCTGTACCTTCGCGACACGGTATGTATTTCTTTCGATTTAGAAAGGACAGTAAATAAGGGAAATGTTCAACAAAGCGAATGGACCGATGGGAGTCGGATTTCAATCTAAACGTCGTAAATCAGCATTACCTCAATTTTTATTGCAAATGTAATAAACGTATTAGAGAAACAAGTGGAAATTAAAACTAGTTCGTGTCATCTCTCATAAAGTTGAAGAAGAAAGGAGTAATTCCTCTATCGATTAAAAAATGATATTTCAGAGGATCGATTTCTAAAATGGGAAACAATTGAGGAGTCCAGTGCACGAAAGCCACAATAGTAGCGTTATGAGATATTAAAGCTTTTATGAAAAGTAATGTTTCAATAGAAATTGCGTAATCAAGACTGCTGTTTCTTTATTTAAATTTATCAATACGAAGGTAGTGCATCTGAGGAAATGTTTCATTTTTTATCTTATTTTCTTTATGCTTACATCTGACAATTGGATTAAGAAAAAGGTTTTACAAAAACTGTTCTTATTACAATGTATTTTATTTAGAACTACTTTACTTGACGAAATATTTAAACAAATTTTTACTGAAAGTGAAATCCCATTTTTCAACATTTCGTGGCATAGCTTCCTTTTGCATTGAATCCCTCAATTTATTGGCGGTTACTTAGTATAGAATAGATGTACATTGATAGGAAAGAAAGATAGGCAACGAAGCGAAGTACAAACGAACCAGCTTGAGTAGCCACTTTTCTGTCCGATCCGTTATAATTAATTCTTACCTTTGAATTTCCCGCGCTTGAATTGAGTAAGGGCGAGCGCCGGTGTAGATGGATGGTGGGGTTAAAGTAGGGGAAGAACTAACGAGGGTTAACGGTGGAGCAGATAGGTGTCGCGTACCACTGGAGGGGGCGACGGGTGCGTGCGAGTGTACGAGCCCGCCAGTTCTTCGGTGAGGCTCGAAGAGGTTGGGTTGTTTTCTGTCTTTACTCTGTTCGATTTAACGCGAATCCCTCAACACGTCCAGGAAGGAGTATGTGCATGGTTCATATTTTTCGTGGCAGTCGCATCGTTCATGTTTTCTATTGATGGTGTCAGGGTGGCTATGGAACGTGTGAATACATGCTGGTGTTTGTTTGCGTCGCGAATTTGTGTCGTTGTGTGATCTATCAAGTGAAAAGGCGAGTCGTTCTCTCTCGTGGTTGTCGTGTTATTGTGCCCGGGTGCAGTGCTGCGGCTTGGTGGTTAAATTCATTCGTCGATACAAGAAAGCAAAGGTTGGGTGTAATCAAGTGAGAATCATCACCGGTAGAATCTTGGAGATAAGCAACCCCTGTGTATGCGCCGTGGCCTAGTAACCTGACCTTGGATGGTCGGCCTGACCAGGTGTGTATGGTAAATGCTTGCATTTATATACATACATACGTATAGCGCGCCCCTAAGTATCATTTTCGCGAAGGAAACTGCGAACGTGATTCGAAGCCAATTCTATATCCCTTTCTGTTTCCCTTGGTTAACGTGTGCAACGTTAAACAGACGTAAAGTGAGACGGAAAGGAGAGACGTGATTCAGGATAGAGTTCGCATTGTTACCGCAACAGCCACATACTCCGAGCAACTCGACCGCGCTTAACGTGTACGACGTGTATACGTTGTACACCTCTAGCTGCTTTGTTTGGATTAGAGGATTCCAGGTTGAGTGTTTGTCATTCCAAGTTTACGTCGTTTCCCTCGATGTTTTTT